GCTAACTGACATGAGTAACTGACTGGGCTAAGCTCACCCAGGAACGTTGTGCTACTAGAGTGGCTTAGTTGTCCATGGGGGCTGAGGTGAGTTTGTTTTGTTTGGACACTTCTGTAGAGGTGACTGACCGTCCCAGTGCCAACCCCAGTACCCAGTACTGTTGGAGTTCACTGACCACTTCGTCCTTCTCGCACTTTGAATGCTGCTTCCTTCCCTCTGCTTCCCAGACCCAGCTTCATCCGAGCTTCCACTTGCCCACAGACACAGTGCCTACGCAGGCACAGCACAGGAGAAGCGACAAGCTGCCTGCTGCGACAGGAAAGCTGTGAAACCTTGAATGATGTGAGGGGCAAAACTCCCTTTAGTCCTCCTGGCCAGATCCAGAACCATTTGTCCTGTTGTTGTCATTTCAGCCAAACTCCCAAAATGCAGAAATGAAACTATGTTTAGGAAGGAAACATTGCTTTATTCAATAGTATGCAGAATTGGACACTCGGGGAAAGTATCTAAATCGAGTGCGAAGCTAAACAGAAAACTTACCATATTTATGTACTAGAATTTGATTATCTCAATTATGTGCCGCATGCATCATTACTTGTTGTACTCAACTCCATCTTTCTACCCTATTTGCATATTTCTGGCATTGCAAAACTGTACTCCACATGCACAGGGGTCTTGGGTGGTTATTGGTGGTTATTTGGGTAAGTGCCTGCTACTCATTTTGAGACAACATTCACTTCAGGGTGCAGCTGGAGTTGCTATTCTTGCAGACATGCTTTGCCAGCCTTCAGACGTCCTTGGCTGCTCAGTTAGCTCAAGTCCTTGAAGCTGTTATCTCAGGATAAGAAGCATTCTGTGCATCCTCCACTGTGCAAGTCCTGGTGGTTGTTGTTTTATTTACCCAAAGTTCCCCATGTATGGTATACAAAGCTAAAAAGTACAAAAGAATTACTAGAAAATATTTACATAAGGCAATGTCCAAACACTGTCAGTATTGCTC